AGGCACAAAAGTCAGATCAAAGTGGATTAAAGACCTCAATATCAGACATGAATCCATAAAGTACATAGAGAAAAGTGTAGGCAGAACCCTCCATGACATTGAAGCTAAAAGCAACTTTAAGGATGAAACACCACTGACTAAGCAAGTGGAAACAAACATAAACAAATGGGACTACATCAAACTACGAAGCTTCTGCACTTCAAAAGAAATAGTGACCAAAATACAGAGAGAGCCCACAGAATGGGAAAGAATATTTACCCAATACCTTTACCTTTACCTTTACCTATCTGGTAAGGGACTAATATCCAGGATATACAAGGAACTAGTTGAATTATATCAGAAAAAAAAACCTCGAACCCATCAAAAAATGGGGAGAAGAAATGAACAAAAGCTTCCTCAAAAAAAAAAAAATACAAATTGCTAAAAGGCACATGAAAAAATGCTCCACACCGCTAATCATCAGGGAGATGAAAATCAAAACAACAATGAGATATCATCTCACACCACAGAGACTGGCACACATTCAAAAGAACAAAAGCCACCAGTGCTGACATGGATGTGGGAAAAAAGGGATGCTCTTTCACTGTTGGTGGTAATGCCGACTGGTCCAGCCTTTCTGGAAAACAATATGGACAGTCCTTCAAAAACTAGAAATTGAGCTCCCATATGACCCCACAATATCACTTTGGGAATATATCCCAAGGACGCAAAAAAGCACAGTAGAAATGACATCTGTACCTATATGTTCATTGCAGCACTGTTCACAATAGCCAAAATCTGGAAACAACCCCAGTGCCCTAGAACAGATGACTGGTTAAAGAAACTTTGGTACAACTACACAATGTAATACTATGCAGCTGTTAGGAGAGATGAAGTCATGGAATTTTCTTATAATTGGATAGACATGGAGAGTATCATGCTAAGTGAAATGAGTTGGAAAGAGAGGGACAGACATAGAAGGACTGCACTCATTTGTGGAGTATAGATTAACATAACATGATTATCCATATAGATAACATAACACTATACTACTTCTCTAGTCCAAGTCTGTCTAACTTTTTGAATTATATTGATGTGACAAGAATGCTTGGAGGCTCAAATGCTGAGTGCATTTGCATTCTTCAAAAAGTCTGAGTACAATCTGGGAGTCTGGCCCTCTGCATGGTCCCCTGAGCATCACCAAAAGTGAACTCTTACCTCAAAGTTGGGAGTATGCCCTGATCACCACTCTTCCTTGAAGGGGCTCATCTGGTGAACATCTGGTCCAGTTTCTGCTAACACAAAGGTGTGGAGACATACAGGGAGGTGTGAATGAAGGAAGAGCCACTGCTGGGGAAACAGGCACCAGATGTCAGACTGTGTTTTCTGTCTTGGACAGGCCTCATCATACAGGAATTATTCCCACACACGTGGACTGCATGTTGTTTTTTTAAATTTTAATCTCTGTCTAAAATTGTATGCTTCTAAGCAGAATGATGAAAGTTGAAGGTTGAGCTCAAATCAAACCTTCAAGCCCTTAGTGACTGATGACAAGATGTGAAGCATGAAGACCCTTGGCAGGTAGAAGGCCACCGAAAAGGAGGTTGAAAAATAAACATCATACCGTGGTCACTCAAAGACCAGCTGCGACTTGTAGGAAGCCAGTCCCCCTTTCTGTGGCTAAATTGGCTCCTCTAAGCAGTGAGCTTAGATGATGGGTCTTTCTTGGAAAGACTTAGAAGAAAGACTTAGAAGCTTAGAAGATGGGGTCTTTCTTGGAAAGTTCTTTCTGGAATTCTGGCTCTCTGCAAAAGTCTGTAAGCAGTGGGGTGGTTGTGCTAATGGACCTTAGTCCTCTTCCTCTTGACGCAGCTTCCCCTCTCTCTCCTTGGCCCTGAGCCACTTTCCCTTTGGAAAGGGGGTTTGAGATTCTGATTGGGAATCCCTGTTCTGGAAGAAGCCAGAGCCAGGAATCCTTGGTATACACGTGTGTGAGTGTGTGTGTTTGTTTATGTGCATGTGTGTACAAGAGGGGGAGAGGGAAGCCATCCATCAAGGTGACCCTGATAGCTGTGATAGTCTGGAGGGATCTTATACCAGAGTCCCACTAGGCAAGAAACTTCTAGAAACTGAGTTTTATCCAGTGCACAGAGCCAGCAATCCTGCCCTCCAGGGCTTCCATCTCCTCAGGAGTCAATTATTCACAAGAGGCAGCCAGCAGAATAGACAGTGTCCACAAATCTTGTAACCCCCTAGATAGAAGCATTACCCCCAAATAGAATGGGACTGATAGGTTGGCTGAGGCTTTGATTCAATCCAAGGAGTCTCTTTTCAAAGAACTGAGTGGGGATTTGTATGTCTATGCATGGGGTAGAGCTGGCAGACCCATAGCTTATGTCTTGCATTGTCCAAGGTCTGAGGCTATTTCTTCAAGAAAGACCTGTGTGCAGTGGGTGATGTGCGGAGCTTATAGTCAGAGATCAGAGATTGACCTCCGAGAATCCATTCCCATCCCTTGCCCATCTAGTCCCTCTGCCTCCCCCAACCTGAAACCTAGAACAGGATGTGGGTAAGCATTACACTGACTCTGTGGGTGCAACATTGCAGTCAGTGGTTGCTCCTTGCCCAAGACCTCCAAGCCCTCCAAAGATAGGAGAAAGGAGACCGCATGATAAATGTTAAGGCAAAGTCCCATGATCTGAGGCTATTGAGTGAGGCCTCGGTGGATAACTTCTCTTTTGTCTGCCCATAGCTAGAGGTTCATGTACAGACAACATAAGCACTTGTAGGGGAGTAATTCAGAACTAACCCCGAAAAAAGATCAAGGGAAGGTCCTGATTGAACAGGAAACCTGACAGAGCAGAGATCAGAAGGCACCAAGGGAAAGAGCTGCCATAGGCTGTGATGGTGCTCCAATGACTGGGGCACCCTCTCATTATAGGAATTGTCATAATGTTTCCAACAAAGTCTCTATCCAAAACAAAAATCTTCTACAGATAAAGTCTTCAACACACACCACCCATTCCTCCCTTGACCACCTGCCATTTCTGGAAGACTGAGTGTTTGTCTGCCTCTTTAGCAAGTGTTGGGGATTGGGTATCCCAGGGAATTCACAGCATCTTTTGACTGCTTTAACAAACATGCAGCATTGCTGCTACATGATCTAGTAGTATTTGTCCCCTAGAGCAGAAGACACATCAGGAGCCGCTCAGAAGACACAGGAAGGGCAGCTCTCCTACCACAACCAGCCATGCACACCCAGACAGTGCAGGCACTGGTTCAGCCCATCATTGTACAAATGGAAACAGATGCCCACTACCTGCCTCTAGAAAAGAAAACTATAAGGTATGTCAGAGGAAGAGTGGAACTTGGATGGGTGACAAAGACAAAGGATCAAAGAAGGATGAAGTTAGGGGTCATCTCTGTCATTAGACAACATCATCCAGTGCCTGAAGACAAGACTAGGTCCCAACAAGATGGGGAGGTACCAGGATGATGGGGACAGGGAAATCAGAAGTTCCTAGGGTTCTGGCTCCGTGGGAGCCATTCCCAGGGCAATTGGAAGTCAGGACCTGAAGTTTTAAATCCATGGTTTTGAGCAGGAGCAACAGGGTTGTTGGGGCCCAATCCCCACCCACGGTGGAAGATTGGGAACCTAAATCAATGAGTTCTGCCTCTTGTTTTTTTGTTTGTTCTCTTGCTTGTTTTCTTTTTGTTTGGGGGCCTTTCCCAACAGCCAGCTCAGGGCTAACACCTGACTCTCTGCTCAGGGAACCACTCCTGGCAGTGCTTGGAGGACTGTTTGGGGTGCTGGGAATTGAATTCAGGTTGGTCTCATAAAAGGTAAAAACCTTACCCACTGTATAATTGCTCTGGCCCAGGGTTCTGCCTCTTGAATTGGATTATGTTATTGAGGTTGAATATCCTCAGAAGTGCCCTGTATCAGGGCCTATGATTCCCAGCTTCCACTTGTTCTTGTCCACTTCTCCATTTCCTTGCTACTCTTCAAGACAAGTGTCTCTCAGTGTTTATTATGACAGGACATGCCCAGCGTCATCCCTGGCAACTTCACTGTCTTCTAGTTTTGGCATGTTCTCAACGAGGTTTGGTGTGCAGAACGGAATGGAGACAGCAAGGTGTTCCGGGTTAAGAAAGCTCAAGATCATAGAGTATGGATTGGCAAAGCAAAGTTTCAATATTCCCAGCCTCAGGGTCCTCTCTAAAAACTATATGCACTGTCTGATTGCGGATGTCTTGGAGCTGCCACTCCTTTCCCAGGGATAGAGAAGGAATAGCGTTGTTCCGTGCTATGTGGATGTGCCCCTGTCCTTGGAGCTGGCTGTGCGCTCAAAACTAGAGAAAGCAGTAGAGCCTAGATGGAACACACAAAGCTCCAGCGCTGCCTTCTTTTTATTTATTTATTTATTTATTTATATTAGTGAAACACCATGAAGTACAGTTGTAGACTTACAAATTTTTGTGCTTGGGTTTCAATTATACAATGATCAAGTACCCATCCCTCCACCAGTGCCCATTTTCCACCACCACGGGTCCCAGTATCCCTCCCACCCCCCACCCCCCATCCCTCCCTGCCTCTGTGGCAGCGTTGCCTTCTTAATGGTGACCACGAGCCAGAGGAGTGACTCCCAGCCCAGTTCTGTTCCTTTAGACCAGCAGAGGGACCTAGTGTCTGTGCGGTGCTCCGGGGAGGATGCCAGGATTCCAAGGATTGCTACTTCTGAGTTTTGTCAACCGAGAAAGAGTGCTAGCTGGACGCACTGTCCCAAAGGATCCCGTTTGGGGGTGGAGGGAGGCGGGTGTGCCAGGACTGCCTAGTTGGAATGCCAGGTTGGGTTTGGAGAGGGCCGGGTGATTAGAAGGACAGCCATTGGCCCGCGCTAGTCTCGGCCCATCCTGACCTTGCCTTTGGGCTGCGCCTCAAAACCATCCCCGCGCCGGAACCCTTTGCCTCACCTGCCTGTTTCCGGTCGGCGCGGCGAGTCTGCGCACAGAGCGGGCACTTCCGCTTCCGGTGGCGTCCATGCGGGCTGGAGCAGCAGCGGTTGTGGACCCGGTAACGGCCGTGGGCTGGGGCGGTCGTCGCGGAGGGGCGGCGGGGTCCGGGACTCTGCACGCCTCGTGAGTGGAGCGTGTGGTCGGGGCCGCCGGCGCGTCCTCCCGGACGGGCTTCTCCTCCCGGGAGTCCCGGAGGCGGCGGGGGTGTGGCGGGGGGTTGTCCTGCCCGCTCGCCCCGCCGGGGAACTCAGACCTGCCTGGCTGCAGGCTCTGCCCCGGAGGAGAAAGGCTCGATCGGGCCCCGCGGGCAGCTCGGCTGTCGCCCCGACCACAGGGCTCTGTTGGCTTCAGGGTCCTTCCCCCAAGGATCCACATTTCCCACCGGCAGCCGCAGTTCCTGGCCGTCTGCGGGTGTCGACGAGCTGCGCGTTTCGCTGGGCACGTGTGGCAGTGGGCACTTGACTCCGCGGCCTGTCACCCGGCACAGGAGACAGGAGTTCCGATTTCCTTCTCCGGGCAGTGCAGAAGCTCATTCAGTACCTTTGCTAAATGAAGTGTCACCGCACCATCTCCGGCCCCCTCCTGCCCCCCTTTTAGGCCGGAGGTCGCTGGACCTGGGGCTTCGTGCACCCCGATTTCCTTTAGAAACCTGCCAGTCCCGTGGTTCCCAGCCGACGGGCCCTGGATTCCAGGACCCCCCCAGAAGTCACTCGTAAGCTTCGTTCAAACCCATGTTCTCGCGGCATCAACCGGGATGGATCCCAGTTCCGTGCTGGTCATCTGACTGGTCTGCAGGTCTTTACAGGGCATACGATTGGAAGGTTTTGCAGCCCGCCACCAGTCAGCTGGAGCGTTGGCACAGCGGTAGGGCGGCCTGGGTTCGGTTCCTCGGCCCCTCGCGGGGGAGAGCCCAGCAAGCTACCGAGAGTATCTCGCCTGCATGGTGGAGCCTGGCGAGCTCCCCGTGGCGTATTCGATATGCCAAAAACAGTCTCACAATGGAGACGTTACTGGTGCGCGCTCGAGCAAATCGGTGAACAACGGAGGACAGTGCTATAGTCAGCCACACTGGAAATAACAATGACTTATTAACGTTTTTTAGTATCTTGATCTTGAAAATATTTTGTTTACGAACAACTTCGTTTGTCTAATTGCCTCTCCAGTCTTACTCTATTTGATCGCCACTAGTAATGGCTATTTCAGTTTAAGTTAACATTCAGAATTTAGTTTTTCCATGCCCATTTTACATTTACATAAAATGTACATAGGTACATTTTATGTTTCATTAGCTACATGTGGCTGTGGCGACTACGTTGAAAAGCATAGAATGGTTGCATCTTGACACCAAAAAACAGTACCGGGGTAGACACTTACAATGAATAAAAGGAAACCTAAGCAGAGATAGATAACTTAATAGCATAATAGAGCAAAGTGACTACTGCAATAGTACTAGCATCTACCCTTGTTGGGTATGTATATGTTTATGCATAAATATATTAATGTGTATATGTTATGCCAAGCTTTTCTCACCCCACCCTTCTCCATTCAGTGTAGATTAACATTACTTGTGAATTGGTAAAAGAGACACAATGGAGAGTAAGGACCAGAAGAAACACAGAAAGAAAAACAGTGGGCCCAAAGCTGAGAAGAAAAAGAAACGACACCTGCAAGATCTGCAACTTGGAGATGAGGAAGATGCCCGGAAAAGGAACCCCAAAGCTTTTGCAGTACAATCTGCTGTGCGGATGGCTCGTTCCTTTCACAGGTGTGTTAGGCTGGAGTCTGTAGTTCTGAATCATTTGTTCTTCTTAAACAGATAACATTTGGGTTCATGACTCTGGTCCAGCTCTCAAGGAACTCTTACTATATTTGTCTATTTAAAAAACAAAACAAAACAAAACTTGTTAGCTACCTGGACAGCAGCATCTGCACAGCGATTTGCCTTTTTAGCCCAGGAAAGGAGCTTGACTTGACTTTTATAGAATTTGTTTGTAAGGGTTACAAGAGATTCAGTGGTATGAGAGCATGCTTTACATGCAGGAGGTCTAGGTTTGGTCCCCAGCACCCTGTGGTCCTCCAAGCCAATCACAGAGCTGGGAGTAGAATCTGAGCACTGTCAGGTATGGCCCAACCCCCGTCTGCTAAATTTTAAATAATATTAATGGGACTAGGTGGGTTAAATTCTGGACAGTTTTATATAATTATATCTAGTATGAAGTAGCTTTTGTAAATTGTTAGATGCATGTTCTTGAATTTTTAAATATATTTTGAGAGCACCTCCCAAGAAGTGTTCAGGGTGCACAGAGCCACTAATGGCCAACCAGGAGGCTGGGTAATTCAATGTTTGAGCTCGGTTTATCAGTGAAGTACTGCTTAGGTGCATTGGGGCCTGGGAATCATTCAGTGACAGGGATTATTCTAGGGATCTCATGCATGCAAAGCTTGCATTCCAGCCCTTTAAGCTACTCCCCAGCTCCTATATGTAGTGTACTTTATTATTGGGCTGGAGCGATAGCACGGTGGGTAGGGCGTTTGCTTGCACGTGGCAGACCCAGCCAACCCAAGTCGACTCCTCCGCCCCTCTCAGAGAGCCCGGCAAGCTACTGAGAGTATCTTGCCCGCACAGCAAAGCCTGGCAAGCTACCCGTGATGTATTCGATATGCCAAACACAGTAACAAGTCTCATAATGTTACTGGGCCCACTCGAACAAATCGATGAACAACGGGTGGACAGTGACAGTGACTTTATTATTATTTATATGTGAAATTGGTGTGTGAAACAAGGTAGTTTTTATCAAAGCAAGTTTTTAGTTGGAAAAATTATTGAACTTTATAGTTTAATCAAACACAGTTGTGCACGTGGCAGACCCAGGCTTAGTGTTCAACACCCCATATAGTGCCCTGAGTCTGCCAGGAGTGATAATTTTAAGTACAGAACTAGGAGTAAGTAAGCTCTGAGTATAGTTGGATATGGCCCATAAACAAGCCCCAGAAAAGTGAGTGGAGGAGAAGGAAGGTAATATGTGTTCAAGAGAGAGTATAAGCTTGAAAGAGCAAACAAGCAAAGAGACACAGTAAGATACTTGTTCAAGGGAGAGCATGAGCTTGAAGAACAAGCCAGCCATGGTTAAATTGCTTTCTTCCAGAAAAGATCAAATTTAACCCCAGAGCTTCTGCTCTTACTCATTGTGGTACTGCCTCGTTGTTTACTTTTTGTTTTCTTTTTTAAACTGTTGTAGTCAACTGATGAAATCACGTTTAAGGTGTGTTTAGTTTTTAGCACTCTATTGTGATTCTGTTGTTTGTTTTCCTTAATGCGGATGTTTGCATTCGCCCTCATTCACAGTCCATCCACATGTATGTTCTGCTCTTCTTAAAGCATGATGCCTTTTGTATTTTGAAAAAGTGATTTTTTTATACAACTAGGACTCAGGATTTAAAGACAAAAAAGCATCATATTCCAGTGGTTGATCGAACCCCTCTAGAGCCCCCACCAATAGTGGTGGTAGTAATGGGGCCTCCAAAAGTTGGAAAGAGTACTTTGATCCGGTGCCTCATACGGAACTTCACCAGGCAGAAGCTGACAGAGATCAGAGGTCCTGTAACCATTGTGTCAGGTAGGAGGATCTTCTGTGGCAAATTTGACTACTAAGTTTAAACAAATCCTGTCACTTCATGTTAGCCTCTCTTGCTGAGTTGACTGTAGTTTCAGAAAAGGGCAGATTCCCAGAGTTGCCCGTAATGTGGGCAGTGTTCTATTCTGACCACTCGTGGCTGGTTTGTGCTAAGCATCTCCACTTACCACATAGTATCTGCTTGCCCTCGTGAACTGCATTTCTTTGTAAGTGAGGGAATTTGTCTCTCTTTATGAAAGCTCTGGAAATCTTTCTCAGTCTGAGGGGAAAATGGAGCAGATTTCTAAAAACAGCAGTGCTGAGAGATCTCTTGTAGATAGTTGGATTAAAGCTTTTCTTTAAGGCATTCCTATCCTAGTTGATTTGTTGCAGCTTCATTTTGAAGTAATGACTATTGAGTGAGGGCTGGAGCGATAGCTCCGTGGGTAGGGCGTTTGCCTTGCAAGCGGCCGACCTGGGTTCGATTCCTCCACCCCTCTTGGAGGGCCCAGCAAGCTACCGAGAGTATCCCACCTGCATGGCAGAGCCTGGCAAGCTCCTTGTGGCGTATTTGATATGCCAAAAACAGTAACACGTCTCACAGATGGAGACGTTACTGGTGCCCGCTCGCTCGAGCAAATCGATGAACAGCGGAAGAACAGTGCAGTGCTACAGTGACTATTGAGTGAACACTTGTTAAACTAGGTGTAAGGATGTTTTTAGCAGTAATGGGAGCCTGGGAAACTTTCCAGAACTAGAAGCATTGTGGTGCTGCTGAACCAGGATCACAGTCAAGAGGTACCTATCTTGTCTGCCTGTTCTGATAGGACTTTTATCTTTCAGGACATTTTATTCATGTGGGTAGATGAAATTTATTTTACAAGATGGAATTTATTTTATTTGATTCTGTTTTCTTCAAAAATGAACTTGTGTACTCCTGTAGGTGTGTGTACGGTGCTCTACTAGATGCATATAAAATAATAATTATAATTCATTGAAGAGTGTTTTAAAATAAAATTAATGCTTTTTTCACTTCGTAGGTAAAAAACGCAGACTGACCATTATTGAATGTGATTGTGACATAAACATGATGATTGATCTGGCTAAAGTAGCAGATTTGGTAAGTCAGAGGGTAGCATGATTTCTAATGGGGATGTAGAGCACCATTATAGATTGTTCCATGTTGAAAATAAGGAAAGTTTTTGTTATAGAGAACTATTGAGTATGGTAATTATTCCTGTTGTTGTAGTGGAAAGTGCACTGTGAAATGTGCTCTCAAATCTAAAAGCAAACCACAAACAGAAAACCTGTAGTGAACACAGCCAACTAAAACTCATTAAAATAGCTGTCTTTGCAATATAGGACCATGAGTCGCTATTGACAATACATAGGTGAGTTAACATGGCTGTGTTTATATAAAACTTCAGTTTCCAAAAATACATTTGGCCCAGTGTTTGCTGATAGTCTCTTGTCAGTGGCTTCCTTTGAATCTTCTCTTTTAGGTTCTGATGCTCATCGATGCCAGCTTTGGATTTGAAATGGAAACATTTGAATTTCTAAATATCTGCCAAGTACATGGCTTTCCTAAAATTATGGGCATTCTCACTCATCTTGATTCCTTCAAATATAATAAACAACTCAAGAAGACAAAGAAGAGATTAAAACACAGGTTTTGGACAGAAGTCTACCCAGTAAGGAAAAGAATAAATTATTAATAACAATATTGTCTTTAAAAATAGAATGAGTAAGAGAGATAAAACACTTCTATAGGACTCTCCTCTTGAATGTTCTTTGTGTATCTGTTCATAGACACTGGAATACTGCCTTAGAGACTATTTCAAGACCTCTCGGCATCCCAGTTGTCTCTGTACCTCTGGGTACCATGCGCTGTCTGATTTAAATGGTTATGATTTAAAGTTATGCAGAAGTTTTCATAGAACAGTAATAGTTGTGCACAAATACTGTCTCATTCCTCTCTCCTCCTCCAGAGCACTATGACTCTTGAAGCTCAGATTTTATTTGGTTTCCAGAAACTTCACTGACACGTGTTCATATTAATTCCGGATAGGTGTCGTTGATTGACCAGAGATCATTATTGAAATGAAATGTACTTTCAGTTCTGCTTCTGTGCAGCCGTTGCTAATGAGTGTTGAAAGAAGCCAGAGAATTTTTGACACATTGATTCACTGGTTTGCTGGAAGTCTTATTTCTTACGATTATTTGGAGACCTTTATTTTGACACAGAATTAACAAAGACTTGTCACTGTCACTGTCCTCCCGTTGTTCATCGATTTGCTTGAGCAGGCCCAGTAACATCTCCATTGAAGACTTTGTTGTTACTGTGTCTGGCATATTGAATACGTCACGGGGAGCTTGCCAGGCTCTGCCGTGCGGGCGAGATACTCTCGGTAGCTTGCTGGGCTCTCGAGAGGGGCGGAGGAATCGAACTCGGGTCGGCCATGTTGGCTGCGTGCAAGGCAAACGCCCTACCACTGTGCTATCTCGAACTCGAACAAAGACTTAATTGAAATATATTCATTTCTTACCATTTAGGGTGCCAAACTGTTCTACCTCTCCGGAATGGTGCACGGAGAATACCAAAACCAAGAAATTCACAACTTGGGACGTTTTATTACGGTTATGAAGTTTAGGCCTCTTACATGGCAAACCTCTCATCCTTATATCCTGGCGGACAGGTAAAAAGTGAATGTAAACGTTTTTTTATCTCCCATGTATTTCAAGGCTAAAAAAGGTTAGGAAAAAACTTTAGTAGAGTTTTTTTTTTTTTTTAACACTGTAGCACTGTCCTCCCACTGTTCATTGATTTACTCGAGTGGGCCCAGTAATGTTTCCATCGTGAGACTTGTTGTTACTGTGTTTGGCATATTGAATATGTCACTGGTATAGCTTGCCAGGCTTTGCTGTGCGGGCGAGATACTCTCGGTAGCTTACTGGCGTCTCCGAGAGGGGTGAAGGAATCAAACTCGGGTCAGCCGGGTTGGCCTGTGAGCAATAGCACAGCGGTTAGGATGTTTTTTAACAGTGGGGAACAAGTAACTTCTTTTTGTATCATTAGGATACAGTGACTTTAGGAGTAAATTAACTATAAGGTGTTTATAAAAATATAAGGGTTGAACCAGTTTGCCTTGTAGAATGTGGCTCCACCTCCTTTTTCAGCTTTACTTTTCAGCAAAAACGATCTTTGTGCCATAGTGCCTCGTCACCCATATCTGCCCTGTGCTTCAAGAATCAAGGCACTCGAAAAACTCTAGATCAAAGCTAAATTGTCTTCCACGAGGGTTTTTTTTTTTTTGGGGGGGGGGGGGGATGTTTACTCTTTCCCAGCTCCAGGTCTATGTTCACATCTTTGGTAGATATATATATCTATATATCTATATCTACATATATATATATATATATATATATCACTTTGGGCCTAATTAAGTAGCATTTGGGAGACTTATGGCTCCTTTTTTTTTTTTTCGGTAGATGGTAAACTGCTCATTTATTTCTGAATTTCCTAAACAGCATGTTTAGTGAACTAGGTGAAAGCAAGTGCATCGTTTACCCATGGCATGGGATTTATAGAAAATTCAGCATTCTGTGATTGGTTTTTATTTTGTAGGATGGAAGATTTGACAAACCCAGAAGATATTCGAACAAATAACAAATGTGACCGAAAGGTATCTCTTTATGGTTATTTAAGAGGAGCACACTTGAAAAACAAAAGCCAAATCCACATACCAGGTATTCATTTTTTCTGGTTGTTGAATGAGCTCTTTATGTAGAATTCTTGTGATGGATGACTTCTATCTTTTAAGGAAACTGAAAAGTGGGGGCTGATGAGCCGGCTCGATGGGCTGAGTGCCTGCTTTGATTGCAGGAGGCCTTAGGCTCAGTCCCCAGCACCACATGGCTCCCTGCACAGAGCTGGGGGTGCTCTTCCACGCGCCCTACAAAAGAGAAATGGGCAAATAAGATAGATCCATATTAGAGTTTTGATTTTGGTGGAGTTTTTGGGGGGTGGGGGGAGGAGGTTGGAGCCACATCAGCCTTGCTCAGGGCACACTCTTGGCTCTGCTCAGAGACTACTCCTGGTGGGGCTCAGGGATAAGGGATGTCGGGTATCAATCCCAGATCTGCCTCGTGCACGGCAATCACCTGGCTCACTGTGCTGTCTTTCCACCCACTCATTAGAAACTTTTGAGATAACCTGTAGCAGCCAGCTCAGTTGACCCAGCGCCCTCTCTGCTCAGCATGGCCCAGCAAGAGAGACGGTGCTTGTGTCAATTGATACCCTCGTTACTTGTTGAAGCGTTCCATTGATGGGTCATTTCTGCTGACAGTTTCTGTTGACACTTGGTAAACTTGTCATTTCTGCTGACAGTTGATAAACATTCTACGTGTAATCCACTTCCAGGTGTAGGGGATTTTGCTGTAAGTGATGTGAGTTTCCTCCCCGACCCCTGTGCACTTCCTGAACAACAAAAGAAGCGCTGTTTGAATGAGAAGGAGAAGTTGGTGTATGCCCCTCTCTCGGGAGTTGGTGGTGTGCTGTATGACAAAGATGCTGTCTATGTCGACCTTGGTGGCAGCCATGGCTTCCAGGAATCGGTAGGAGGAAAATGACAGAGTCATTGCATCAGCCTTTATCCACTGAAGTTTTGTATCTTTAGTCATATGTGTGACAAAGGCCCCAATGTGTATTATAAATCCGCTCATTACTTAGTTGTCCAGCTCAACATTAAGTTCTGTCTGCCATACCTCCGTGCCAGGTTGCACAAGGGAGCCCAGGTCTCAGTGTAAGCATTGCCAAGTGATTATCCCTTTATACCAAAAGACTGAACTTCAGTTTTCTTCAATGTTTTCCTATTTCTCTAAACATACACACATTATTTGGTGTATGATATTAATTATATATGAATACATATATGTGGCATATTCTGCTTAGAATTAATGTTTTTTCAGCTCTTGGGGGTACTTGAAAGGTGTGACGATTCCGTTTTTATCTGCTAATATTTTTTATTTATTTATTTATTTATTTATTGAATCACTGTGGGAAAGGTTACAAAGCTTTCAGGTTTATGTCTCAGTCATGCAAATATCAAACACATTTCCCTTTACCAATACTTATTTTTTACCATGAAGAACCCCAATAAAACCCCACCCCCCACCCCTCCCCGTCCCTGTGAGGCAGATGAATTCTAGTTAACACTCTATCTGCTTTGATTAGATTCATTGTTTCAATAAAAGATTCACCACTATTATTTAGAGTTTACCCCCCCCCCCAAATCAGACATGCTGAAAAAGCATTGTGAAGTGATTTGCTTTCTACAGCTGGGTTCAAGAATTAAATGTTGGTTTTGGATTTCTGCTATTTTACCTATTGACCCTGGAAGTATTTCTACTGAAAGTCAGATACTTAAGAAATTGGTTTCTGTGTTCTGGAGTCGTGGCCGTGCTGGAGAGCCGCTCGCAGGGGGACTGGTGGCCTCGGTAGGGCGTGAAGGGCGGAGCGAAACGCCCCCCTTCCCATGAGGTTTTAGTTCCCCCCACACTCCCCGCTCATACCTGCTGTCCACAAGGCTCCCATGTGGCCGCCATCTTTCTTTCCAGAGAGGAGAGGGCGAATGGGGCAACACCCTTTCCCCTCCGGCAGACTTGATGGCCTGGATCAACGCATAGTCCATTCACTTTTCTGCTCCAAGCTGCTGGGTTCTGCATTAAGTCCTTGTGCTTCTGGGGCCATGGCCGTGCTGGAGAGCCGCTCGCGGGGGGCAACTGGTGACCTCGGTAGGGCGTGAAGGACGGACCGGAACGCCCCCCGACCCATGAGGTTTTAGTCGCCCCCACTCCCCCGGCTCATACCTGCTGTCCACAAGGCTCCCATGTGGCCGCCATCTTTCTTTCCAGAGGGAGGAGGGCGGAAGGGAGCAACACCCTTTCCCCTCTGGGCAGAAATGATTGCCTGGATTAACGCATAGTCCTTTCACTTTTCTGCTCCAAGCTGCTGGGTTCTGCATTAAGCCCTTGTGCTTCTGGGGCTGTGGCCGTGCTGGAGAGCCGCTCGTGGGGGCAACTGGTGGCCTCGGTAGGGCGTGAAGGGCGGACCGAAATGCCCCCCTTCCCATGAGGTTTTAGTCGCCCCCACATTCCCGGCTCATACCTGCTGTCCACAAGGCTCCCATGTGGCCGCCATCTTTCTTTCCAGAGAGGAGAGGGCAAATGGGACAACACCTTTTCCCCTCCGGCAGACTTGATGGCCTGGATCAACGCATAGTCCGTTCACTTTTCTGCTCCATAAGTCCTTGTGCTTCTGGGACAGTGGCTGTTCTGGAGAGCCGCTTGTGGGGGGCGACTGGTGACCTCGGTAGGGCATGAAGGACGGACCGGAACGCCCCCCTTCCCATGAGGTTTTAGTCGCCCCCACACCCCCGGCTCATACCTGCTGTCCACAAGGCTCCCATGTGGCCGCCATCTTTCTTTCCAGAGGGAGGAGGGCGGAAGGGAGCAACACCCTTTCCCCTCCGGGCAGACATGATGGCCTGGATTAACGCATAGTCCTTTCACTTTTCTGCTCCAAGCTGCTGGGTTCTGCATTAAGTCCTTGTGCTTCTGGGGCTGTGGCTGTGCTGGAGAGCTGCTCGTGGGGGGCAACTGGTGACCTCGGTAGGGCGTGAAGGACGGACCGGAACGCCCCCACTTCTCGTGAGGTTTTAGTCGCCCCCACACCCCCGGCTCATACCTGCTGTCCATAAGGCTCCCATGCGGCCGCCATCCTTCTTTCCAGAGAAGAGAGGGCGAATGGGGCAACACCCTTTCCCCTCCAGCAGACTTGATGGCCTGGATTAACGCATAGTCCTTTCACTTTTCTGCTCCAAGCTGCCGGGTTCTGCATTAAGTCCTTGTGCTTCAGGGACTGTGGCCGTGCTGGGGAGCCGCTCGTGGGGGGCAAGTGTTGACCTCGGTAGGGCGTGAAGGACGGACCGGAACGCCCCCCCTTCTCGTGAGGTTTTAGTCGCCCCCACACCCCCGGCTCATACCTGCTGTCCACAAGGCTCCCATGTGGCCGCCATCCTTCTTTCCAGAGAAGAGAGGGCGAATGGGGCAACACCCTTTCCCCTCTGGGCAGAAATGATGGCCTGGGTTAACGCATCGTCCGTTCACTTTTCTGCTCTAAGCTGCTGGGTTCTGCATTAAGTCCTTGTGTTTCTGGGGCTGTGGCCGTGCTCCAAACTTAACTCTGATTTTCAGGGAGAAAGATTGGGTGGTTTTGAGAAAAAGTCCTCATTCCCGCATACTCGAGCTGCGTTTGTAGAGGCTTCTGGTCACCGGGGTTCCATCTGGGGGAGGCAGGATGCGGCACCTACTCCATCTGGAACTTGCCGGTGATCTCGGCTCTTTTTGGAACCTTTTTTTTTTTTTTTTCCCCCTCCGGGATCTGTGGTTCCCGCACCCTCCATGTGGTCCTTAGGCTGAACGCTTCAAAGATGGCCTATCTGCTAATATTTATAGAGACAGCTGCCCTGTCATTTCAAAGTTGTGTGGCATCTCTTATATGAGCCAGCTCTAGAAGCATCACGAGGTTAACCTCCCCTGGCTTAAACATTGCTGTAGTGAGCACCCTCAACTTGGAATTTTATTTACTGTGAGCGATCTCTTTTATAAATTTGGGATCAAAACATAGCAGGTTTTTTTTTTAACAGATTCATATTTTCATTTGAAAGTTTTTAAATAGGATTTCAAATAAATTGGTACCTAAGGTCTTTCTAGGCATGTTTAGCTTATCAGGTCCATGTACTCCAAAAGTGTTAAAATACTGATAAAAATTACAGGGTTTGTTTTCTTTAGGAGGTCACACCCACGGTGCTCAGGCCTTACTCCTGCCTCACTGTGATGGGATCATTCCTGGAGAGGCTCAGGGGACCTTATGGGATGCAGAGAAGCAAACCTGGGTCAGCTGTGTCCAAAGCAAGCGTCCTGCCCACTGTACTATTTCTCTGACCCCTAGGGTTTTGTTAATTAAAATTTTTCTGAAGAGGTAAAAAGTATTCCCAGAAAGTATGTTTAGAATAATTTTGAGAAACTGGTCAAAAACAATAAGTCTTGTTTGTCTTCAGAATCCTGTGTGCTCTTCACTCACTCTTCCTTGGTGGTCTTTACAGGATGAGATGAGGCCCACCCATGAACTGGTCCAGAATCTTATTTCCACTCATGCCACCATTGATGCCAAAATGGCTTCAAGTAGAGTGACACTTTTTTCTGATTCCAAACCACTGGGGTCAGAGGATATAAATAATCAAGGGTAAGTTGGCTTTTTTCTATTAAATCATAAATAATTATGTCACAGTTACTACACAGCTCAGTGGAATTCACTCCAAGTTCTTTTGTTTTACTTGGCTTTTTATGTACATTTATTTCTGAGGTTTCATATAATACTACATGGGAGAAATATGTAGAAGTCAATATTTGATAAACCTCAGATACACCTCAGATGTTAGTGTTGCTTGCTTTTTTTTTTTAATTTTCCTTAGGGACCTGAGACCACTTGATAGTATCCAAAATGCAGAGAACAAGCAGAGTCAGAAAGCTTATTTGGGGGGTGGGGGGGGGGGGTGGGCGGACACAGCCATTCAAATTGCTCGTATCTTATCTCTGAAAGTTTTACTTAGATTATATTGTGGAATCTATGGTGGATTGATAGCCATTAATTGTCTGATTCATGTGAATTTCAATCTGGACTGGAACGTTGTATTCCACGTATAAAGGGGGTACATTGGTTTTATTGTGTTTTATGATTCCCAGTATGAATCAAAAAATGATGGTAGTTATGTAGTTTTTAATTGTCTTAAATATGTAGAGATTGAAGAAATTTGTGTGTGTGTGTGTGTGGGAGAGGGCGGTTGGGATCATCCTGCCCCCTAGTGGAGAGTATGCCATAATAGTTGAGTATAAGAGGCTTGCTCACTAGTTTGGGGAAAAAGTCTCCATTCCATAATAGCAACGTGAGTACTGACGATTAAAAATATGATAGTGCACATACACTGCTTAGTTAACCTGGAAGATAATAACTATTAACTTTAAGATCCCCATTATGACAGTTTATGTTGTTAGCATTTTTTAAAGTATTCAATAGTCATTCTTCTTGGATATTCTTTCTATCATAGTTACAGTCATAGTTCGTACAAAGTGTTTGTAGTCACATTGTGAACATTCCCTTTTCTATAGTCATCATTTTGCTCTTCATGTATTCTAACAGCCATTCTCTTTTAGTACAGTTTTTAATATTTTCCTGATTCCCCCCACCCCCCACGGTTTTATATATCTTGTTACGTTAAATAGCTTCATAGTGGTTTTTTTTTTAGCCTTTGATTTTTGGATCTTGAACATTTATTTATCAGATAGTTATCTCTCAGTATTTGGGGGAGACTAGCTCCCAGGACCCAATGGATTCTCAAATCCTTCGTTGCTCCAAATAATTGCATATAATCTACACACATCTTCATGTGTGTTTTAAATTATTCGTTGGTTGCTTATGGTATCTAAATAGAATTGAATAGGGAATGATGATAAGAAAACATTCTATATACATGTTCGGTATAGCTGGAACCATCATAGGCATAATTGCATAATAGATATTTTCAATCTGAGCTTGGTTGAATCCACAATATGGAAACCACTGGGCGACAGAGAGCTGACCCACTGTATTACGTAGTGTTTTCAATATTCTTGTTATTTTTCCAACATTTGCTAGTATTTTTTTAAACAGAACTTTTAGTTCCACCCTTCTTAATGGTCTCATAGTTGACTGTTAAACTTTTTTAAAAATTCCATTTTCTGTTAGTCCCTCTATTATCACTGATCTTTTTGGTCATGATATTTTGTCTTCATTCTATGCCCTCCCTCCTTTTGGCACATCCCTGCTGGCCTTTGATCACTTACCTACTTTCTGACTCAAGTGCTCAGATTTTCCAGCCTCATGTGATCTTTCTTTGGACCTGAAATTAGCTTCAGTCTTAGAAATGGTCAATTTTCTAAATATTTTATTAAATATTCACTTCTCTCCCAAGTGGGCAGCTAGGCCTTCGGTACCAAGATTGACCTGGGCCACCCTGGAGGTGCTGGGGCCTTCAGGGCCACACCAAACTGCTTGGTAGCCTCCAGGGCTCTGCCAGACAATGCTGAGGAGCTCGTGGTGTCAGGAATTAAACCTGCCTTGGACAAGTACTGCTATTCTTCTCCTGGCCCTCACTTCCCTTTTAAACATTAAAGGGTTTTTCTATTTTTGTTTTTCATTTTTTAAAACTTAAATCATTCTGTTTTATTAAAACCACTCCTCAGGGCTGGAGAGGTAGCACAAGCATTAAAGTGCTCCACTTGCGTCTTACCCTGATTTGGTACCTGTACCACATACACTACCCGCAGTACAACTATGAGTGACCCCTGAGCACTGCTGGGTGCAGTCTAAAATCCCCTCCCTCAACTAATAATAAAATAGAATCTAGCTCCTCATTGTCTTATTTGCATATTTATGACTTCCTTTTTGTAGATCAGCCAATTATTGTACAGATTAACGTATTTTGTTTTTACTTGTTAATACAGACTGTTGATGCCAAAAGAGGAAAAACATGTGGATTTGAAAACTGGACGAGTGCGTCGGAAAGCTGTTTTTGGAGATGAAGAAGATGAGTCTGGCGATAGTGATAATGAAGATGATGAAGAAATGTCTGAAGACGACAGATTGGAAAATAGCTCTACTGATGATGAAACAGAAGAGGAGGAAGATGCTGAAATGCCTGATAAAGACTGTGTGACCAGGAAACGTGTCAAACGACAGAGACTTGAAGAGATGGAAGAAGATGCTGAGGTGGATTTGCCAGCATTTGCTGATAGCGATGATGACCTGGAGAGGGGTTCAGAGGATGGAGAAGCAGAGGAAGCTGATGAAAGCAGTGACGAGGATTCCCCTGTAGGAAAGACGGGTATTTTAGAGCCTGAGGCTCTCCGAGAAGGTGGTAAGGTGGGACAGTTACAGGCTAGTGGTTTGAGGGACAGTTTGAATCTGGAGAAGTCTTCAGCATTGCGAAAAACAACCGTCACCATTTCAGATTCAGGTCATTGTACAGCTGAAGAGGCATTTGCATCTGAAGATGAATCTGAAGAAAGTTCCTCTCTCAGTGCGGAGGAAGAGGATTCAGAAAATGAAGAAGATAATGGGGAAAAGTTTCCTAAGCCACCTCAAGTAATCAGTGGTCAGAAACTGAGTTCAGAGAACTTAATTGATGAGACCAGTGATATAGAAGATTTACTCAAAGAGGAAGATGATTATAAGGAAGAAAACAACTCTGCTGTAGAAACTTCAGGTATGATTTATGGTAGCTGCCTTTAGAAGCTTCAAGTTGAAAGTGTTTTTACAAATAGAATGCCTGGATTTGGGGATCTACTCTTTGGGAGATGTGTTTACTGTTCAAATTCCATATTGCATTATGGGATTTCAGGATGAATGAGCAGTGAGCTTGAAGCTGAGGACAGATAAACAGACGTAACCCGAGTTGGCCTTGGTCTTTTTCAGGAGCCCTCAAGTGGAAGGAAGATCTTTCCAGGAAAGCAGCGGAAGCATTTCTAAGGCAGCAGCAGACAACTCCAAACCTCCGAAAGCTCATTTATGGAACAGGTAAAAAAGAGTTCTGGTTTAGATCTAGAAACATTTTGGTTCATTTTCTGAAATGGAATTTGAGAAAATTGGTTAGAGGATTTGAGTATTGCTTTTGTTAACTGTAAACTATTCCCAGCTATCAGTTTTTATTTGGCAGGTGTTTTTATATCAGTAGCCCATGAATACCATTAAATAGTTATATAAAGTAGAATTATGGATTTGCCATAAAACTTTATTAGAAATACTGCCTGTTATGTCATTTTTGTAGCTCCATACAAAATCCTTAAGAAATTTTTTTATGTATATTTTAGTACCCCCAAAATATTGGTCCATTAAAGATGTTTTGTATAAATTGGTAGTTTTATATTGTGGTCCCCAATTACCACATGATTGTAGTGTTAGACATATGAGCTGGAAGTATAGAGTCAGGGGATTGGTGTGTTCTAATTTCCAGCCAGGTTTTGCCTAATTGTTTTTAGTTACTTAACACTGAGCTCTCTTGGAGGAAAATTCTGTGATAATTGGGAGCTCTTTCAACTTCTAATATTCTGCCTTCTCAGTAAATTCTGCTGCAGAACACACTCTGCCAAGATGTCCTGACCTTTCTGCTTGTGTCTGTTGTCTCCCGGCCACTAAACAAACAAGGACAATCAGTTCTGAGTTCTCTGGGGGTAGAGTCATTCTTACTTTTCCATCATGGTGGTCTTTTTAGTGACAGAAGATAATGAAGAAGATGGTGATGATGGGGAAGAGCTTGGAGGGTTGTTTCGTGTCAGCCAGCCGGCCAGGGAGTGTAAGCACAAGGCTGATTCTTTGGACTGCTCCAGGTTTCACGTGGAGGCCCCTCATGATTGGGATTTAGAGGAGGTAAGGTTAAATGTAAATAGTATGTTAGCCTTTGTGAGAACTGAGTTGTTGTAATAGATTTTGTTATTTCAGTATTGTCTACCTACCTGTTGTTAGTTTCTCATTTTTACAACAGTGGTTTTCCCCAGAAACAGCAAAATTTGCAGCCTAAGCTATCAACATGTTCAAAGTATAGTTAGATTTTGAGGGGTCAGAGAGATAGTACAATGGGTCAGGTGCTTCCTTATGCAAATGACCCAGGTTTGATCCCCTGAACCCCACCAGGAGTTATCCCTGAGCACAGAGCCAGGAGTGAGTCCTGCCAGGAGTGATCCGTGAGCACTGCTTGCTGTGGCTCCCAAACCAGAAAGACTCGCAGTGTACTTGGGTTCTGTTTTCACATCCTCACCAATACTTAATTGTTTTAATTATAGGTATCCTCAAGGTTTGAAGTAGTATCTCACTGCAGTTCCTAATTTCCTTTCCCTGCTGGCTAATTTATCAAGCATGTTTTCATGTGGTCTTTTAAAGAAATGTCTGTATTGCTAAGTCCATCGAGCTGTGCTTGACCAATCTCAAGCCCTTGTTCTCCCTTGAGCACGCAGCTCTCTTGCTGGTCTCTGTGGCTCTGCTGGTCAAGCTCGTGTTCTCTCTCATGAACACGTTTTTCTTTTCCTTCCCCCCACTCACATCTTCCTCAAGTAGATGCCTCTTACTTCAATTTCCTACCTCTAATTCCCTAGAACTTCTAGTACAGTGATTTTTGGCCTTTCTGTTCCCACAGACTGGTGAAAATAGAAGAAATCTTAACAGTGTTTTTAATCCCCACATGATTTTGGAGCCACACCTGGCAGTGCTCGGGGGCTTCTCTAGTCTGTGTTGGGGGGGGGGGAGGGGGTCTGTCCTAATGGCATTACAGGAACCATATGATGTACCAGGCCTCCACATTGAAAGCATGTTCTCGGACCTTTGAGCTGTATCTCGCCTGCCTAGGAGGTCTTATTTTTTATTTCTTTTTAAATAATCCCCTAATTAGGTTAAGGAGGCACCCTACTGTTTCTTAGTTTATTGATTGTTATTATCATGCAGGACCTGATTTTTTTTAGTTTGTTTTCACTTTGGTCCCTGTTTGTCAGTTTTTATGCTTCCTAAAAGCAAATGCTTTCTTAGAACAGCTTACCACTTAGTGCCTACAAAGCTTCTTAGGACAGAGCAAGATGTTCAGTGCATTTCATAAATGTTGGCAAGGAGTTGGTAAACAAACTTTAGTGAAAATTTCCTATTATATCTCTTTTAATCATGTTGACCTCAAGGCTACTCTTTGAAGTAGTATATGGAATATTTTAGCCATGACCAAAATGTGGTAGAGGTAAAAATAAGGACCTACAGTAAGGTTTCTGTCTTGAACCATGGTGATAAATGACTACCTCAACTTACTCAAATAACAAAATAAATCAATCACAAATCTATCTTAGATTGGCTCCTTGGGAAGCAGACTCTGAAACTTGCTTACAAGGTTTTATGCTGTATTTGAGAGCTCTCCCTAGCACCCCTACATGTGTATACTGATCATCTGGGACTATGAACTTTATCAGTACTCTTTGCATTGTTTGGTTTTTGGTTTTGGGATCACACTGGCAATGCTCAGTTATTACTCCTGGCTCTGTGCTCAAGAATTACTCCTGGTGATGCTGCGGGACCATATGGGATGCCAGGGATCAACCTGACTTAGCCATGTACAATGCTAACACCGTACCTGCTGTATTACCACTTCGGCCTGACTCTTTGCATTAGTGCGTTATTGTGTTCACGCAAGACACTTTGTCTTTATCAGAATGTTGTCACTAGTCAGAGGAATTAAGGTTTGAAACATCTTGATAGGTTTGAATTAACAATTGGTAAGATCAACTTTCTGAAACTCCTAACTGCATTGCCATAGGAACACTAGTAAACATTTAAAATCGGTTGATTTGGTAAATATCTGTTGATACTAGAAGTGAGTGACTAGGGCTTGCTCAAGAGATGGTCTAGTGGACCTTGCACATATTCAACTCACTTCAACCTCCAGTAATACAGTGGTACCTTGAGCACCCCCAGGAGTGACACCTGAGCCAGGAATAAGCCCTGAACACTGCTGAGAGTGGCAAAAAAAAAGAAGAAAAATTGTCAGTGGACAATTAGTACTTTCACTGTCTCCTGCTTTATGTTATAACATTTATCTCTGATAAATGTTACATAGTTTTCTCAGACACCCATCTGGAATCTGTAGAGGTTTCTTGAAAAGTACTATAAGGCCAGGATTCATCTACTGTTTTTTAAATTGAGGTATAATTGACTTTAGCTTCATGTATACAGTAAGATAATTAAATATTTTCATCTGTACGAAATGATCACAGTGAGTCAGTCATTAACATCTGTTGCTCTGCTTAATTAAAGAAAAATTTGTTTCTTGGTGACAACTTAAGATTCTTTTAGCAACTTTCAGATAGCGCCATGTTTTGGCTATAGACATCCATGCTGTACATTGCATCTCTGTGACTTAATTTTGTAACAGAAAGTTGTTTTTTTGGCCCCCTCTGTACCTTTTTATCTCTTTCCTTTCACCCCTTTTTATTTTGTTTCTTCCCTTTCTATTGCCCCCAATCTCTATCTTCCCCCCCCCCAAACACACACACACACTCACACACCCCTCTGTCTCATACTCAGTAGGGAAAGTATATTCAACACCCACATAATTTCTTTATTCATCCATTAAAAAAAAGTGGACTTCTTAGGTCATATGGTTAATCTGTTTTGAATTTTAAATCCACAATACTTTTCATAATGACTGGGCCTATTTCCATTCCCACCAACAGTACATAAAAGTTGTGTCTTGTCTGGTTCAGCCCTTTTGGAAAATAGTATGGATGATTCTCAAAAAATTAGAAACTGAGCTCCCATTTGACCCAGCAATACCACTCCTGGGAATATATCCCAGAGAGGCAAAAAAGTACAGTCGAAAAGACATCTGCACTTCTATGTTCATTACTGCACTGTTCACAATAGCCAAAATTTGGAAAAAACCTGAGTGCTTGAGAACAGAGGACTGGTTAAAGAAACTTTAGTACATCTACACAATGGAATACTATATAGCTGTTAGAAAAGATGAAGTCATGAAATTTACATACAAGTGGCTCTACATGGAAAATATCATGCTAAGTGAAATGAGCCAGAAAGAGAGGGACAGACATAGAAAGACTGCATTCATCTGGGGAATATAAAGTAACAGAATGGGAGTTGAACACCCAAGAGTGGTTGAGATAAGCAGGAGTCTGCTCCACAGCTTGGAGGCCGGCAGCACATGCTGGGGGAAAAGGCAACTCAGATAGAGAAGGGAACACCAAGTAAAGGATGCTTGGAGGACTCTCTCAGGATGCGAGATGCGTGCTGAAAGTAGACTATAAACCGAACCAATGGCCACTCAATACCGCTAATGCAAACTAAAGTACCCTAAAGGAAAGAGTGAGCAAAAGGGAATGCCCTGCCACAGAGGCAGGATGGGGGGGGGGGGATGGGGTGTGGAGGTGGGAGGGCTACTGGGATCAGTGGTGGTGGAGAATGGGCACTGGTGACGAGATGGGTACTCGATCATTGTATAACTGAAACCCAAGCACGAAAGTTTGTAAGTCTGCAACTGTACCTCATGGTGTTTCGCTAATAAAAAAGAAAAAAAATTCAATAAGTTGTGTCTTGTGATTTTTTTTCCTGAATAGCCATTCTAACAGGTGTAAGGTAATACCTGATTATAGCTCTTGTGTGCATTTTCTTGAATATTAATGATGTTGAGCATCTCTTCATGTATCTGTTGGGCTACCCATATGTCTACTGTTTCTTAGTAGCACTTATTTTATACCAGCTCATTGCTGTCTTTTCTCTGTAAGGTTATGAACAGTATCAGAGATTGCTTTGTGACTGGGAAGTGGGAAGAGGATAAAGATGCAGCCAAGATCTTAGCAGAAGATGGTAAGTAACATCTTAGGAAAAGACTTTATACCCTCTCTTACCACTTTTGTAGTCAAGTTGAAAATGGTTATGAAATTCTCTTTGGGATCTCTTACAAGGGTTAGGGGTAAAATTGTGTTTTCTGCTTTTATGCTCATCTTGTTTTCTGTCCCTGGTTAACTGATTTATTAGATGTGAATCTTAAAAGTTTTTCATAAATCTTGTCCTCTGTTTTCTTAAAATGAGGTTTTCATGTGTGAAAAATGTACTAAAAAATTTTTTTTTGGGTGACAAAGAGTATTGTGCATTTTTATAAAAAATTTACTAAAAAGAACATCATACCATAACTCCCACTGTCCCTAAAAATAATGTTACCCTGCTGAGGTATTTGTGGTCATTTAAAATATATATATATATATATATGCTTTCCTAGTCATAATCATATCTTATAAATTGTGTCATTAATTTTTTAAATGTAATGTTTATGATTTAGGTATTTTGTCATTCTAAATCAGTTTACAGCTCTAATGTTTGATACACAATTCTGTCCAGATTATGAATAACTACACTGGTCTACCTTGAAATAACCTTTGAATCACATTTGTGTTTTTTGTCAGATATCATGAAATATAGAATTGATGAGACACTTTGGATTTAGAATTGTAGGATCACAGTTATCAAAAGATTTTTCTGGAATTTTTCTTATATACTATGACATAATGTATCTAGTGGATACTTAAGATACAGAGGTTTCAGCTGCATAGATTCACTTATCCTCAGTTTCCCTCTCACTGTAGATTTCAAGATAGAGGTTGATTGAATCCATGCATGCAGAGTTATACAAGGATTTTCAGCTCCCAGGGTTTGAGCCAACCGCGCTTTATTCAAGGATCACCTACACTTGGTGTACTATGTTTACTCAATATTGATTAATACCCATGAGAAAATTTTTGTTAGTTTGGTAGATGTTTTTAATATTGTAACTGACAGTACTGAGAATTTGTAAAATCTTTTGTTTTATTTTTGTTGAGGGGGGGTGTTGTCTTCCGAATTGTGCTCAGGAGACCTTGGGGCCACTCCTGGCAGTACTTGGCCAGCCAGTGGGAGGTTCAGTGCTAGGGCCCAAGGATGCAGTGCTGCTCAGGCTCTGTCATGCCGGGGACCACCACAGCCACCCCAGCAGTGCTCATGGACTTCCACAACTACACTGGCCCATCTTGGGAGGCCGCGTGGTACTGGGGACCAAACCTCAGTCAGGCACGTATGCCCTGATCCGTGAACTTTAAGGCATATTGACTACAGTAGTGAATTCCTTGTTCGTATTCTTTGACCATATAGGGGAGGAGTGTAGGGGTCACTCTCAACAAACTCAGCACTGGGCTCTGAGGGGCAACTGCTCAGAAGCCGCCTCACCACGACAGCAGTCAGTGCCACGGGCAGGCGGCGAAGGTGGTTCAGAGCAAACACTCCTTCCCTTTCACTTGTCTTTCCAGCCCCATTTGCCCATTATTTCAACAAGATGTTAATGTGAGGTTTGGGGGATAATTTTGTTCAGTTCTGGTTTTGGGTCCACACCCAGCATTGCTAAGAGCGTGCTCCTGATTCTTAACTCTTGGCAGTGCTTGGGGACCATATGGGATGCTGGGGATCAAATTTAGGTCAGTCGCATGCAAGACAAGTGCCCTACCTGCTTATCTCTCTGGCTCTACTGGGGGGTATGCTGATTTTAAAATTAGCTCTAAAAGATATTTATCCTAACCTTGTTACAAATATTTTTCTTATTATTACACTGTGAAGTTTTGTTTACCTGAGCATTAAATAACTTTTAAAATAGTGTGTAGTTAGATCTATCAACTATATGTTGGATGGGAAGGTTCATTTCATTTTTATCTGTAATCTTTCTTGCACAGCACTAATTAGGGCAAGTTTATTGATTTCCATTATTAAAATAAGCATGACCCAAATTGACAGTGCTTACAGATCTAGTTTTTTACTGGTAAAGGATGAACTATTCCATCAGTGCTGGCTTCCACACAGTCCAGGTCTCCGAGGCCAGGAGCCACTCCAGCCATCCTCCCTCTGCAAGCCTGCCGCTGTGTCTGGCATTGAACTCCAGGAACCTGGGAGCCTACTCTTATTGGGAGTTTTCACATTGTGCTAGTCTCAGTAGGATACTCCAGTACATAACCTGCTTCAAGAGCTGAGCTCAGTCTCAACTCCTCAATCTCATTATTATCAATGAACTCTGATCAGTAAAGCTCCTTAAGCAATTTATCCCCAGACTCTTTGAACCCAAGGTTGCAAAGCAGTTGATCATATGCTGACCAAACGTTGACTCGTGTACACTGACCAAGGGTCCTTACCTTGAGAGAACTCTTAGAAATGACACAAGAGGCCAGAGCGATAGTACAACAGGTAGGGTGTTTGTTTTGCTGCAAAGTGACCCTGCTTCAATCTCCAACACCACCTCTAGTCTCCACAGCACAGCCAGGTGTGACCCAAACCACCCCCTGTAAAAATAAATAAATGGCGCAAGGCCTTTACTTCACAGTGAACCCTCAAAGCACAATTCCTGAAGCTCTTAATTCCTCCTTGACTAGCATGAGAGTCACTTTTTATAGTTCTCCTTGATATATTTAACTTGATCCAGTCTGGAATTTTGGTCAAAATCAAACCTTTATTGGGACCACACTAAGCAGTCCACAGGGACTGCACCTTGAAGGTGCTCAGGGATGACTTCCCAGTGGTGGTGGGCACCATATGGTTTGTCATATGGTCAAACTGGGGGCTCTCGCATGCAGAGTATACACTCCATCCCTTTCAGCTGTTCTCTGGCCAAAGGATCAACTCCCCCTCCCTCAAATATTTTCTATTTCCCCCCAAGTTGTATTGATGTGTGTCATGCGTCAGTGTTCTGCCACCACTGGAGAGTCAGACTTCAGCTTCCCTCTACCATGGACCTCTCCTGTTCCCCCTCCCCACTTTGATAAATTCACATCTGTTGGAAATTCTCCAGCCTCCTGCCTTTGGGCATTTGTTATCACCTTACTACGTTTCCTTATATCCTACAGATGAGAGAAATAATTTTCTTTGTCTCCACCTCCTATCTTCACTAGTTCCATCCACATGGTGGCAAATTGTATAATTTTAACAGATCATCATTTTCTATCACTGTTGATTGAATAATGTTGGTTTATAAAGCAGACTCCGAGTTGGCCTGCAGAATTGAGTTGAACAGAGAGGACTGGGGGAAGGGGGAACCCGAGACATTGGAGAGATGCAGGCCCATGTGTGCTGGGTGGGGTGATTAAACACTGTATTCCTGAAACTCTGTTATTAACAGTATTGTAAATCACAGCATCTCCATTAAACTTGGGAGATAAGGGATAATGTTGGTTCATGATCTATTTATGTGTGTGTTGTGTGCATGTGCATATATCTATACACACATATCAAATCTTAGCTATAAGGCTGTCCCTGTACTATTTGATATCTACTCTTCCTCTGCCATTCTGATTTCTCAAATATATTATTCCTTATGGAATCTAAGGCAATTCATCTCATTTTCTGTGATCTATTTAATCTCTTCCACATTCATACCTCTTTGGATTAACCTCTGCTTAATTTCTACATTTCTGTATAGATGAAAATAACAATGTTTTCAGATTGTTCCAAAGCAAAAATGTACAACACTGAAAGTAGAATTTGGAACATAAAGGTGCTGAGTTGTCCCTCCAAGCTTATGAATTGTGTCTTCAGTCAAAGAGAGTGACACCATATTTTCATTAGAACAAAAAATGTCACTATTCTTACATGTTCTGCAGCAGATGTGTCACTCAAACAAGTGTTGACATCCTTCTGAGTCACATATCTGAAGCAACCTCATTCTTTTCAGTAACTGTATACTATATTGACTTGATGTTTCTTTTTTACCCACTGTTTGCCATTCCATTTTTGTTCCTTTTTTTTTTTTTTTGGCCTTACACACATTTATTAGTTGGTTTTGGCCCCCAAATCCAGTTACAAATGAATGAAAGATGACAAATGAATGAAAGATGGGGATGCAGAGCTCACTGGTGCCTGGAGGTCTGTAGTGCCATATGCAACCTTGTTCACAGTCATTTGATTGTTCTTCCCTAGAGGAGCTCTATGGTGACTTTGAAGACTTGGAAACGGGGGATGTGCACAAAGGAAAACCCAACTCGGATTCTCAGGTTTGACTCCCATGCCAACCCTCAGCCACTGCCCTTTGATACGTGGTCAGTCTGTTCTGAGAGAGGCCCATATTAAAAAACATGAATCTTCTCATCTGTTACAGACTGAATGTATTTCCTTCCAAAAATCAAATAACCTTTTGGATGATGCCTGCTACTTCTTGTCATGATTCTTCAGTCATTGATATTTTACCTCTGGGCATTGTCTTCCTCTCCACCGTTATTTTTCTTATTCTCCTTTTTTATTATTTGGTTTTACATGGGATTTTCAGGTCGCCTGGGATGCCTCTTGGCAGCTCTCCACCAACCAGGCCAGTGATTCATTGTGAAGCCCAAGGATGTGATGCTGTTTGGCCTTATAAAGTGCTAGGGATGACCCAGGGCTCCCCAGCAATTCCAAGACCTACACCCAGTGGTACTCTCAGGGAGCTATGATCCAGGGATTGGCATGAGTCATCTGCTGGCAGGGCAACACTTGAACACCTGCACTATCTCTCCAGCACCTTTTCTCCTTTTGTCAGATTTAAGTGCCCCCCAAAAATAAAAATTTCCTATTTTTTTCTAGTATTTTTCTAGAATGGTGCTTGGAGTAGCTGAGTTTTGGGGGTACTTGTAATTTTTATTTATGTTTTGCCCTTCTCAGCCAGATTAAACAGTGACAATTAATTGTAATGCAGGCTAAATGCCTCTTGTAGTAGTGCCCGGTATATACACCAAAGGCTGCATTTTGTTTTCAGTCTTCTATCATATTAAAGAAAAGAGTTCTACAAACTCTTTTTTTCTTCTTGAAAATCTTTTTTTCTTCTGGAAATTTAAGATTGAAGATGAGGAGGAAGAAGTCAAGGAAAAAACCGACCCCAGTGAAGAAGAAAGCGCCAAGGAAAAACATTTGGAGAAGAAGAGAAAATTGAAGGAGTTGTTTGATGCAGAATATGATGAAGGAGAGAGCACATACTTTGATGATCTCAAAGGAGAAATGCATAAGCAAGCACAGGTAAGAAAACTTAGTGCCTGTTCTCTTCATCTCAGTGCTGTTGTAGTGAATGTGCTTAGGTTTCTGCTCCCTGAACTGCTTCTGTGCCTCTCCTTGGGACCCCTAGATCAAGACACAGTATGTCTAATATCATCTCATTATTTCTTGAGTCAGGAATCCACAGGAGAAATCAGGGCATATTTTGTGCCAAGAATTTAGTGCTGAGGAAGCAGAAATTGTTGAGATAACAGCAGCCACTTGGAGGAGCTCTAAGTGTAGTGATGGAGGCAGCATTCCTTTAGCACCTGGTTACTGTTTCCTGGAACCATCATTAAATCACAGGAGTCATTAAATGACTCTTGCCCCTCTGTTGCTCGTGTTTGTACCACTGCTCTCTGGGGAAGGGGATTCTGAAAACCATCTTGGGCAGAATTCAGAGGCTACTTGGAGTATGCAGCCAGGTGTGGACATAGAGATAGTCCGTTGCTCCTGCTTAGAGTACTGAGCAGGCTGTTTTGGGCTGAACAGTGTAGAACTGTAATAAAAGAGCACATGTGGTGGTAAACCCCGGTAGAGGTTCTCTGAGACTCGTGTTGGAGTAGATTAGGAAGCGGCCAAAGGCTGAGAAAGAGGATGAGAAGGAAGTACTCAGTGTTTGAAGAGTGAAACCATTGGAAAGAAAACCTAGTATAAGCGAGGGGATTTGAGGTTTCTGACCAACGTCAAGGGCTCTTTACATAGTTCTTTATAGTTCATGTATTTTGAAGCAACAGAGAAGACAATGGTTGGGACATATCCTGAACAGACTAAAGAGAAGGCCTATTACTTTTAAAATGTAAATAAATCTCTGTGGTTCCTTTATTTAAAAAGTATTCAATATGCCAATCTAACATTTATGAAAAGGAACAATAATTATAGATTTTTATACTGTTTGTGTATTTTTCACCTCTTCAAACATATAGCTTAACCGAGCAGAATTTGAAGATCAAGATGATGATGCCAGAGTTCAGTATGAAGGTTTTCGACCTGGGATGTACGTCCGAATTGAGATAGAAAATGTTCCCTGTGAATTTGTGCTTAACTTTGACCCACATTACCCAATTATTTTGGGTGGTTTGGGCAATAGTGAAGGCAATGTTGGATATGTGCAGGTAAGATTCTATGCAACCTGCTTGTCGATTAAGAGTCTTTGGGCATATCTCCATCAATAATCTTACTGAAATCTTTTCTCCATTCAGATGCGTCTGAAGAAACATCGCTGGTATAAAAAAATCCTCAAGTCCCGAGATCCAATCATTTTTTCTGTAGGGTGGAGGAGATTTCAGACCATCCCACTGTATTATATCGAAGACCACAATGGAAGGCAGAGGCTTCTAAAATATACTCCACAGCACATGCACTGTGGGGCAACATTTTGGGGTAAATAGGATTAGAATATCATGTTTGTAGATTAAACCATTTGAGTTTAAGCATTATAATTTTGCTTTTTTCTATTATAAAGTTCAGTTCTTTTTTTTTTTTTTTTGGTCTTTTGTTTTTACACTAAGTGTTTAAAACAATCCAAAATATTTTATTTTATAGTTTTTCCCCCTTTTTCTTTAAGGTCCCATCACTCCACAGGGAACAGGGTTCCTGGCAATACAGTCTGTCAGTGGCACAATGGTAAATATTTCACATGTCTTTATTTTATGCAGTATGTGGGATTTTACTGGAAACTTTACATAGGAAATTGTTGGTTTTAGAGTATATAGTAATTTCTCTCAATTTTATTTTGCATTTTGGGGCTTCTTTAAAAAGATCTCAGTGATACGCAGCTAAACACCAATACAAACCTCTGAGGATACATTTGATACCAGCTAAATATGAGCAGCCCCTCGTAATGCTAATTTTGTGTCCACAGTCTTTATTCTATCAACCAGAATAGGTTTTATTGGCCCCATTTAACAGAAAATAGCAGGTGTAATTCACCCTAGAAGCCTAAAATTTAACTTCTTAAACATTATAACCAGATTTTCATCTTTCTTTTCATACTGAAAAGGCCATTATGAAATTGTTGCTATGAAGTCACTAATGAAAATACTCAAGACATTGTTACTAGTTTTATTTTTGTGTTATATGTATTGTAATCTAAGTATTAATGCTTGTAACAAATAGTTTCGCATGTTTAGATTGTTTTTTCTTCTGTAATTGTAATTAAAATGCACTTTGTTTATTTGTTGCATGAAAGATAATTATTTTTGTTTTACTGGTATTCTTATAATTTGGGGTTCCTTTTTAGCCAGATTTCCGGATAGCTGCCACAGGAGTTGTCCTTGATCTGGATAAATCCATAAAAATTGTGAAAAAATTAAAGCTCACTGGCTTTCCATATAAAATTTTCAAAAATACTTCATTCATTAAGGTCTGTATATCTCTATATTGTATTTATTATAACTCTTGTTAAAGGAGGATAAACAATGCTTCTAAGAAAAGCTCTGGTTTTTTGGGTTTTTTTTTTGAGTATTTGAAATTTTTTATAAAACTAGTCTTGGATATTTTTTGTTCACTTCCTTGTATCAGTCTATCTTGAAGTATGCTCAGAAATCTGAAGGTAAAGAAAAATATTTAGCACTTGAGGCTATTATGTATTCCTTATAAAACTATGAAAGAGCAATGTATGTGGGAAATTTTGGTAGTGGAGTTGCTTCTGTTAAAAATGGTTAAGATAACCATTAAGCATTCTTAAAATATAGAGTAAAACCACTAGTATTTATCTAACTCTATTTTCTGAAAGTGTCACCTGATAGATTTAGGTTGCAGTGGAGCTTCGTAAAATAACAACTAAGACTGTCTATGCCTATTATATTTAACAGTTATCCTCTCTTTCTCAAAGATATCTAATAACTGGGGCTGGATCAATAGCACAGCGGGTAATGCGTTTGCCTCGCACGTGGTAAACCTGGGTTTGATTCTCAGCATTCCATATGGTCCCCTGAGCACCACGAGGAGTAATTCCTGAGTACAGAGCCAGGAGTGCATTGCCGAGTATGACCCAAAAAGGAGGAGAAAAATCAGATATCTAATAACTAATAATAATCCCATATTAGATTCTTGATTAATACTAATTAGGGAAAATACAGCAGAGTTTCATTCTTTTTGAGATAGTGATTCTACTTGGGTAAATTAGAATATTTTGATTTTTTTTTCTTTTTGATTAAAACCTTTCAGTGAGATTTTTTTGCTTTGTTTTCCTGGTGGGACAGGTGGTTTTTGTTGGTGTTTTTGTTTGGTTGATTGATTGGTTTTGGGGTCACACCCAGAAGTACTCGGGACTTACTCCTGGCTCTAGCAATGCTCAGGGGACCAGAGATCAAATCTGAACTGGCCATGTACAAAAAGCAAGTGCCTTAACCCTTGCTCTATCTCTGGCTTTCAATTAATGTTAAATTTTAACTGAGCTTGGATGTCTGAACTAAGAAGTAAGGTATCTAATTGTATGTGGGGTTTTTTTCTTTTTGTTTTTGTACCTGTAGGGAATGTTTAATTCTGCCTTAGAAGTGGCAAAATTTGAAGGTGCTGTTATTCGAACCGTCAGTGGAATAAGGGGACAAATCAAGAAAGCCCTCCGGGCTCCAGAGGGAGCTTTCCGGGCCAGCTTTGAGGATAAGTTACTGATGAGCGGTAAATATCCTTTGTGGTATATTCATAATAGCTTGTTAACCTTCCCTATTGATTTCTAGCCAGTGGGGTTAGAGGTTACAGTTTAGGTCTTTGAAAGATCAATCAACACTAGTTCTTCCCATTTGGATCATCTTATGCGTTGTGCTATGTCTGAGGCTGTTTGGTTCATAACAATTCAGTGTTTTTGTGATATATGTGAATACTTTACTGGATGAAGTTCTGCTATAAATACTGTACAGCCTGCTAGAGAAATTTAGGGTGAATGATTTGGTTTTTGGCAAGTTGATATGGGTATTCTTTTGAAAATGTTAAAGAAAATTTCCTCTCTTTCCAGATATCGTCTTCATGAGAACTTGGTATCCTGTTTCCATTCCAGCCTTCTATAATCCAGTCACATCTTTGTTGAAACCCGTTGGTGAAAAAGACACCTGGTCAGGAATGCGGACTACTGGCCAGCTACGGCTTGCTCATGGTGTCAAACTAAAGCCCAACAAGGATTCTCTCTATAAGGTACAGCCACATGTAAACTCTGGAAACCAGTGGTCCAGATGTTTCCTGTGTTTTGAATTTTCAAATAAGAAAGTCTGACAGTAAAGTTAATTTGTTGAATAAAACATGTTCTATATTCATGGACTATTTTGAAAAGAACACAGGAAAGTGAGACTAATGATTTTCTGTGCATTGAACTAATTTTTCCACCTTACACACGCATTGCTTTTAAAAGCAATGTATTTTTTTGCTTGTTTGTTTTTATTTTTGTTTTGTTTGGGCGTGTGGGAGGTCACATCTGGCAATTCCCAGGTGTTACACCTGGCTCTTCACTCAGAAATCACTCCTGGTGAGGCTCAGGGAACCATTTGAAATGCCAGAGATTGAACCCGGGTCAGCCTCATGTAAGGCAAGCACTTTACGTGTTGAACTGTCTCTCTAGTCCAAAACAGTGTATTTTTATTAATCATTGTGGGTTTGGGAGAAAGGAAAAGGAGTTATTGAATAGTTAATATGGTCAAAGGAAAGTTTACAAGACTTAAGTATATGACTCAGTTTCAAACTCACCCACGTCACCATCACTTGAACCTAGCAGTAGAATTGACAGTCTAACAGATATTCTTTCTTGGGATGTTGTTTTCCTAGTCACGCCCCCCACCTGTACCTCAAAGGTAGCCCTTATCCTATCTGCTAATATAAATGACTCCTTCCTAGTTTAGGATTTTATATATTCTATTTTGCCTGGCATTTTTAAGTTTTATAAGATTCGTTATTCTTTAGACATTCATTGGTTATCATTGTCAAGTAGATCTCCATAATAGTGTTACATTCTCTGTTGATGGACAGTTTTCAGGAAATCTGTTTAGCGTTCAAGTTTGGCATTTCTGTTATACAGATTCTCAAGGATGAGATTGCCAGATTGCAAGATATTCCTGTGTTCAGCTTCAATGTATGATGCCTATGGCATTCTGAAGTCATACTGAGTAATGTCCCACAACCAGCTTATCAGAGTTCTAGTTATTTCACATCTTCACCATTAGTTGGTTTTCTTTTTTTTTTTTAACGTTCTCAGTGACTGTCTGGATTCTCATTTTCATTTAGATTGTGATCTCTAAGACCTTATTTGTTTTTATGTGTAAGATACCTAATGTTTTATAATAAGTGGATAGTTCAGGGTTTGGTCGGTCACTATTTTCTCAGTAAAAGATTTCTAAAATTTGAGTTATCTTTTATGAATTCCTTTTATGAATTCCTATCACTTTGGGACATAGTCCAGCCTGTTGATTTTTGCTCTTTTTTAAAAGGATGAAAAACATGGACATCATGGATAATACCTTTGATAATATATTTAAGGAGGTAGCAGAAGTCGTTTCCGTATAATTTACTTGGCCTTAGTTAACTATCTCAGAGGCAGAATTTTGCATTAAAAAGTAAGAACTTTGTGCATATCAGTTTAGGCATAGAACTTAAAACAACCTGAAAAAATTCTGTAGCAGTTAGAGATGTATTTCAGTGACTACCTTGCATGTACAAGGCCCTGAGTTCAATCCCTAGTACTGCACAAAAAGAGAGTTAAATGCTGAGAATGTTTTGCCTCCATCTGTTATTTAGATCTCACTGTTTTTTCTTTTCAACTGGACTTTTCATTAGAAACAATAAAATTGGAGACATATTATTGAGGAATTAAAATGATAGGATTACTTTGGCTGTTGTTAGGAAGAGCTTTAAGATAGACTAATAGAACGGGGGGGAAATGAAATTATTCTACTTAGCCTGGAAAAAAAATGCTGCAGTGCTGTAGGACAGACTTAATTTTCCTTTAAAAGAACATGTTGGTGCTGGAGAGATAGTACAGAGGATAAGGCAATTGAGTTGTATCCCTCTTTGATCCTGGGCACCACATATGGTCTTTGGAGCCAGGAGTAAACCCAGAGCAGCCAGATGTGACCCCAAAACCAAAAAAAAAAAAAAACACAAAACTTCAGATATATTCACCTGCTCTGTTGTGATAGGTCATAGACTATACAGTAGAAATGAGCACAGTTAATTTTCTTGGAAAGAGATACAAATAAATTCTCTTGGTTCCCCTCTTTTGCCCAGAAATATGTATCTGTTGAGACGGTCCACATTTGACTATTATTTCTGTGGTTAGCAGATATTGGTGCTACTCGTTTTGTGGAGAAGTCAAATGGTTGCAAATTTTAAAACACGTCGATTATGATTTAATTATGTTGCTCTTTTTCTTTTCAGCCAATCATGAGGCAAAAGAAGCATTTTAATTCTCTGCATATTCCGAAAGCCTTGCAGAAGGCCCTGCCATTTAAGAGCAAGCCTAAGACTCAAGCAAAGGCCGGCAAGACGCCGAAGGACAGGATGAGACCAGCTGTCATACGGGAGCCTCATGAAAGGAAGGTACTGTCAAGGGACAGCTGCTTGCTGCCTGCATTTGCGTGTGAAAATTAGTTTTTTGGTGAAACAATTGGCATCTCTGTTGTATTGTTTTTCATCAGGGAAGAAAAAGGACCAGTCTCTTTCCTGTCTTGGTTTACTCATGCTCAACTATTTAGAGGGGAATAATAGTACACATCCCCTATCTGAGCTGTACACAGTGTCCACAGAGAGACTTAACAAAGCTAGTGTGATGAGGGCCCTGATTTGAATATCAAGCAAATGTACTCCTACTTTATCTTCGTGCATATGTAATTTCCTAGTTCAGAGTATATTTACTCTAGTTTGATATTTATTTGTAGTATGAATTGACTCTCGTTTTGATACAACTAGTCTGAGGTGTTTAGGCTGCCTGAAATTTAGAAGTACATATGCTGTAGCTCTAAGAATATTCTGACGCTCTCTGATTCTGTCCCTGTCAGATCCTCGCACTGCTTGATGCTCTGAGTACAGTGCACAGTCAGAAGATGAAGAAGGCCAAGGAGCAGCGCCACCAGCACAATAAAGAACACTTCAAAATGAAGCAGAAAGAGGAAGAAGAAAAACTGAAACGACAGAAGGATCTCAGGAAGAAGCTGTTCCGAATTCAAGGTCAGAAAGAAAAAAGAAATCAGAAGTCCAGCCTAAAGGGACCAGCGGAGCAGCCTAAGTGAGCTGAGACGGATCGCCCTTTGCACCTGCACAGGTGGGTGTTTCCGGTGTTACTGTGTAAAGAACAAGGAAGACCTTTTTATTGGATACACCAGCCAGACTGTGCCTTTGAAAGGAAAAATGAAAACTGCTGATAGGACACCTGTTCATTCCTAGTGCCTGGGTTATGCCAAAATTGAAAATAATTTAATTTATGGTTTTATATTTCCCTCACATTTCTTTCATCTGACTCAGTTTGTTTGTGCCAGCAAAAAAAAAAAAAATCATTAAATATTTTCCTGTTAACTTTGTAATCGTTTTTATTAAGGATGGATGTTTGATGATTGTGGATAAGCTCCTTGCTTTTTCTGTTATGATGAGTCTTCCAAAAGGGGAAACAGCAGTAAGTTGAAACTCAGCTTTAATATGGTATTTTAGAGAAGGGTATAATTTGGATTTTGTCTGCCATATGTTATGTTCTTTGATTGATTACTGGTCTTAATAGACATTTTATCTTATTTTACACATTTTGTATGTTAGTCTAATAGATAGAAAAGGTATAGGAAACACTGTCAGTACTTTGGTTCAAGGAATTGCTATCTCAGTTACATAGGGACCCAGAGGAAAATTTATGTTATTTATTAGGGCGTTCACCTTACAAGCGGCCAACATGGCCGACCCGAGTTCGATTCCTCCGCCCCTCTCGGAGAGCCCGGCAAGCTACCGAGAGTATTCGATATGCCAGACACAGTAACAACAAAGTCTCCAATGGAGACATTACTGGGCCCGCTCGAGCAAATATATACAATTACTTATTATATTAAGTAGGTTTTATTCATTTCCCAGTTTGGGATTTTATTGGTCTCATCTTATGTAGTACATATGATTACATATTAATATGATTGTATGTGGTATGATCGTAGATACACACACACTGTCACTGTCCTCCTATTGTTCATCGATTTTACTCGAGCGGGCCCAGCAACGTCTCCATTTTGAGACTTGTTGTTACTGTGTTTGGCATTTTGAATACGTCACGGGTAGCTTACCAGGCTTTGCCGTGCAGGCGAGATACTCTCGGTAGCTTGCCGGGCTTTCCGAGAGGGGCGGAGGAATTGAACCTCCGGGCTGGCTGCTCGCAAGGCAAACGCCCTATCTGCTGTGCTGTCACTCCAGCCACACAGTTTTACAAATTTGCCTCCTTTCTTCCAGTGGTAATATTTTATACAAATATAATTTAACATGGTAATCAGGATGTTGACATTGATACAGTTTTTATATAATTTAGAGATTCCATTTTATTTATATTTGTGTGTGGCAAATTGCCCACAATCTCCTAGAGCCCAGACCTGGGAGATGACACAAAAGGAATTGTTTATAGATCCAGAAAAGATGAAAATTCCCGAGAAATCCCCAGAAGACAGAGCCCAACAGGCTCCATAGAGGGAAGCAAAAGACATTCCAACGGGCATAGCTACTTTACCTCACGACGCAGCGTGAAGGTAGCCTGATCTCCCCCTACTGATCTGGAGCAGTAGACAGTCCAGTATTTTCTCAGGGATGGTGCCCCATCCTCCCAGGGCTCTGGGCAATGCCAGAGCAGACCGAGACCTGCCTGGTGAGTGGTTTGATGGACTGGCCGTCCAGGGCACCTCTCCACCCATAGGGAGAGTCCATGGTGGTCCCTGGGTGGCACTGGGATTGAAGGATGAGGTAGCTGACCTTCCCCGAGAACATGGGGAGCAGGGGTGGGCAGTGGGGATTAGATGAGAGAAGAGGGAGAAAACACGAGCTGAACAACAGAAGCAACAGATAAATCCACCAAACATGAGAATCATTTACATACACACAATAAAGATCCTCAGGAGGATATTGAAAATGTGACGCTAGATGGAGGCGGAGATGAAAAAGAACCAGCTGGGGATGTAGGGTCTGAAGAATGTAAATGCCAGAACAATGAATTCATGGGGAGGCCGAAGAGAGAGCAGAAGAACCTCTCAAGGCAGGAGATTGGTTGGGGGCTCTTAGAAGAGAAGGGGAAGGGGTCAGTGAGATGGCAGATTAGAGAGGGATCCAAGTGAGAGAGAAGCAGCCAAATGTGTCTAATTACGAGTATCAGAAGGAGAGGAGAAAGCAACAGATAAGAGGAGATAGAAATTGTGTGCATAGGTAGGAAAGGAAGGCATTTGCATTTTCCTCTTTCCTTTGCTCTTGTTGCTTCAGTTGCAGGGTGTGGGGGGTTTGCACCCTGTGCTCAGGGCTGCCAGGCTCACACTCAGCATGTGGAGTGTTGCTAGGGGACTGTGTGGCCCCTGTCTTGGTTCGAAGCCGGATTTCTACCACTAGGCTCTCTGGCTCCAGCGCCTGCACACTTTGAATTAAAATTTTGTGTATTGTTTGAAGAAAGACATCAGCATTTTAAGTCAAAGATTCTGGAAGCCTCCAAAGAGAATAAAAATAATATACAAAGGAGCAGGAGTCATCCAGCCACAGAAATGACAGATGAAGGGAAGAGAAGGGCGGTGGCAACATTCAAAAGGAAGCAGTGCCCTGCACTGACAAATGAGGCACTGTCAAGTCCTGCGAGGCCTCCAGAAGTCTGACACCAATGCACCCTTACGGGATAACATATTTGAGCAGGAAACCCAGGGCGCGATGCCACCAGCTTTGGGTGACTTAGGATTGGGTGTAATCTAAGGAAACAGCCATTCAACAAGTGTGGCTAAGCAGAGTGACATGTGGTCCAGGGAGTGGGCTTGGGCTGAGGAGATTGCTTAGACTGGGTGAGAGCTAAAGCTCTCCCTGCCCTGTTGGAGGGAAATTGCAGACATGTCCCGCAAACAGCAGAACTCACAAAGGGGGCTGATCCAGTGAGGGGATTCTATTCCCGGAGACTGAATGTGGGAATATGATTTAGAAACCAAACAAACACTGTCCTCCCGTTGTTCATCGATTTGCTCGAGCGGGCCCAGAAATGTCTCCATTTTGAGACTTGTTGTTACCGTGTTTGGCATATTGAATACGGGGAGCTTGCCAGGCTTTGCCGTGCGGGCGAGATACTCTCAGCAGCTTGCTGGGCTCTCCAAGAGGCGCGGAGGAATCAAACCCGGCTCAGCCGGGCTGGCTGCGCGTTGCTCCAGCCCATTTATAAACCATTGAAAGGAAATTTGTTTTTTTCCTATTTTAGTGGAAAATAGGAAAGAGAACAAAGAAGAGAGAAAGAGAGAGAGAGAGAGTGAGCTTTTCTAAACGATAGAGAAAAATGTGTGTGTGTGTGGTGTGTGTGGTGTGTGTGTGTGTGTGTGTGTGTGAGAATATAGGAGCTTTTCCATACTCTCATATCTTTTCCTCCCAAAAGAATAGTGTGTGTGTACACGTGTGTGTGTGTGTGTGTGTGTGTGTGTGAATGTACAAGCTTCTCTACACTCTGATATCTTTTCCTCCTCCAAAAATAGTGTGTGTACACCAAGCTGCCTTTCTGTGTTTTAGTACCATTTGGCATATCTGGTATTTAATACTGGCATGGAAACTTCTCTGTTTTTCAGATTTTTCTTTCTAGTGCCTTTATTTCAGATGCACTTTTTGTTCTGTTTTTGACCACACCCAGTTGGCACTCAGGTTTACTCCTGGCTCTGTAATCGGAGATCATTCCTGCCAGTGCTCCTCAGGGGGCGCTGTGGGGTGCCGGGAATTGAACCCGGGTTGGTTGTGTGCAAAGCAAGCACTCTACCTGTGCTGTCCAGTCCCTTTACTGTTCCTAGCAGCGTTGGTGTAGTGGTGAGCCTCGCTGTCTTCCATTATTTTTCCTAGATTCAAGTATATGCCTGTGTACTTTGGCTATAAACTTTCGTGAATAATTTCTTTAGACATATCCCATAAGTAATGAAGGGTCATGATCTTATCAGGATCTGTTTTTTGTTTTTTGTCTTCTTTTCTTTCTCTTGAGCCAGTATGAGTTGCCCTCAGCTTTTTTCTTTGCCCTTTTCATCCTGTTAATGGAAAATTCACTTGAGAATGTAGTTTTCCCTCTAAATTCCAGTTTTTCTGAATTCTGTCTTTTTATATGAATACACTAATATTGCCTTTGTTCTCCAAACATTTTCGTTTCCACTTCCAAAGGGGAAATTTTGCTTCCAAAGTGAACTTTGACATTATCTTCTCCTTTCTAATTTTACTGGCTACAAGAAAAAAAGAGACTTTTCTAACATTCCGTAAGTGAAGAGCTTTGTACTACGGTGTTTCCCGAGTCTCCATGAGTCTGAGACCATGCATTGTGTATCGAGCCTGTGTCCGACCTTCCTGGGATGACCAGGCATGCCTTACCTATTCGAAGTCCTGAGTCCTGAGTTCAATCTCAGGTACCATGTGGCCCGCCAGTTTTCTGTTTGTTAATTTTGAAGGTGTCTCCCAAGCAGTGCTCAGGAGCCCTGAGGTCCCCATGGCTGTTCAGCCCACTGGGCTGTCAGTTCAGCACAGGGTCTGAGGGTGCTTGCTGCCCAGGCTCTGTAGTGCTGGGGATACTCAGGCCACCCTAGTAAGTGCTCCAGGGGCCTCCGGGGCTACACCCAGTGATGCTTAGGGGATCAGACCCGAGTGGGATACCTGCCAGGCCTGCACCCTCACCACTATTCTCTCTCCCAGGCCCTGGGAAGCCAGTTTTCCATTCTGTCACATTATTGAGCCTTGGGGGCCAAAGAGATAGTACACTTGCCTTGCATGTCTCCTACCCTGGTTAAATCTCCAGCCATGCCCTGTGGTCCCCTGAGCCCCTCCAGGAGTGAACCTGGAGAGCAGAGCCAGGCGTGAGCTCTGAGGACTGCTGGTGTGGCTCAAATACAAAGTTGTTGCATCTTTAGGGCACCACTGCGAGACTCCAGCCCCAGCCTCGTCTTGTGACCTGGGCCCCCTGGCTCTGGGATGGAGCTGCCTGCAGTGTGGTTGTAGCTTAGTGACAGCTGATGCCACCAGGGAATGCAGGAAGGGACCTGACACATGAGCTTCGTTCACCCCCCTTCTTCCCACAGACGTTGCCATGCTTCCCTTCGAAGCCACACCCCTGCCATGTGACGCCCACTGATCCTTGACAGACAGAAACAATCTTCTTGCCTTTGTACGGAGAAGCTGCCATGGCCAGCCCGGATCCCTCCTCCCATCTCTTCTGATTCTACATCTGATGCTTAGCCGCATATGGGCAGTGCTCATGACTTACTCCTGGCGGCACTTGGGGACCATATGGAATGCCAGGGATCAAACCCAATGGGCCACGTTCAAGGCAAGCACCTGACCTTCTGTACTATCACTG